CGCGGGTGCTAGTTAGTATGCAGGTGCACAGGTTACCAAAGGTAAAGTTACAAAGACTCTTGCATCATTCGGAATTGTGAGCTTTGGTGGATGCACGCTGAGAAAACGTGAGTCCAAAGCTCAACAAGTAAATGGGCTCAAATCTCGGTACTGCCTTGAGGAGGTTTGAGTGCGTTACAATCGTGTGAGTTCGACCATCGAAATGGATGATGTCCACCATATGCCCAAGAGCAGGGATGATGTCTGTAGTCAGGTGTAGTGTTATTTGGTCAGAAATGGCACTGATTGGAGCCAGATCTGGGCCCGTGTTCCCTCGATCTCAGCTGTAAGTGGGGACCTGGATTTTGGTGTTTGAGGATCGGAGCACATCAATGCTTGCCCTGGTTGTTTCCTAAAATTTAAAATGCTAGGGCTCGGACACTACTGTTAGAAGTGCTGTCCCTATGCTAGAAGTGCTAGTGTTAGTAATAAACTTGCTAAAACCAGCAAGTGATAAGCTACAGTGCGACCTGTACGTGCATATAGGAAATGTTGACCTAGTATGCACTCGTAACCTATATGGGGATTTTAATAAGCTGAGGAGTTAAAGAAACGTGTAGTTAACAACAGCTGAAGATCTACCATATATTTGGGTCGTACTAGGGTGGCATTTGCCATTTTTCTAGGATGCTACTGGTAGAAGTACTATGTGTATGCTAGGAGTGCTAGTTCTAGTAATCATACTTGCTAAAACCAGTAAGTGGTAAGCTACAGTGCGGCCTGTATGTGCTTGTATTAAATTGGAGCCAAGTATGCAATCATACAATCATACTTCTACAGCTTAAGCATAAGGTCTTATAGGGGTTTAAAAACTTTATAACTTGCGTCCTACAACTGAGTAGCCCATTTAGTAAAAACTAGATGTTTGCAGATCTTTAAAATTGTCATAATTGCTCTTGTCAAGCTGATTTATTTCTCTAACTTTTTGCTTTTTTGGTTTCGGATTTTTTCGAGTTTGTCAGTAACAACGCTGAGGAAGCACATCACCACTCACTGAAATTCGAGAAATCCTTAGGAAAATAGAACGGTTACTGAGAAAAAACAAGCAAATAGGAAATGGCTGCAGTCGGAGAAGCCACGTTCAGTGAGTTTAGTATATCAGCAAGGGTTCATGATATTGTGTAAGTAAAAGTTTGTAAACATGTCTACAATGTTTAGCTACTTAACAACTACGGGACTAGAATTCTACCATAAGACAAAATCAGAAATTGAGAAACTCCGTAGGCTTACTGTCACGTAACCTTTCCCATGAAAACAGCGTTACACATCTGCGGCAGAATCAGTCGCTAAAATTGCGGTAAGTCTGTTGCAGAATGGAGAATCCTACGATTGTGTATTAAAATATAAACTTTTTTCAAATAGCACACTGCCAAACAAATGCGTACGTGGATGACGAACAACTCTCTGACTGCCGCGTTCATGTAGTCCATACGCATGGGACTTGTTCCGTTGGGCCCCGCTAACAAAAAATAACCTAATTGTTGGTGGAACTGGAGGTCACAACAAACGCGATTTATGAAACATAAGTGAACTAATCATGGGATGTAAACAGAATGTGGAAATTGGCCTTAAGAAAGTGTCAAAGATGACGGTGGTCCATTCGAGGAGAAATAATAAAAAATGTACATAAAGGACGATATCTTGTGAGTTGGAATTCTTACTGGCTTTTATCAAATGATTATATAACTTGTACGGCATAAGCTATCTAATCTTCAAACTGCTCCATGACTTGAGAAACACGTGATGCTTGGACTTAGAATTTCTAGGTTATGGGTTTGGCGAGAAACATGTATTCGAACAAACTTACGAAAGAGTAAACCGCAAGCATTTGAATTAAGCACGGCGGAAGGAGCACATACCCAGTCTTCTCGCCGTATTCTTCCAGTAGAATATCACGCGGAATTTCGCTCAGAGCCCCGAAAAATTTCAAGTCGAAGCGCTTGGAAACATCGTCCCCTAATTTTCCGCCAAGATTGGGCCTGAGGAATAAAGTACAGCAAAACTTTGAAGTATAGAAAAAAATTTTATAAGCTGTTGATGAGCAACAGCCAGTAAAGTAGGTATGTTGAGATAACTTGCACTCTTGCCAACTGACATATGATAGACGGCAGTCAACAGTTCTGAAATATCTGTAGAAATTGCGTAACACGGAAGTGGGTAGCTCTAGTCCTTAACACAAAAACCAGCCCACCTCATTATAAATATTATCGAATATATTGTAGGCGATGGAATGTTGAATCTTTTTACCAGATGTCAACCTTTTCACTACTAATAACTAACGGATCGCATTCCCATCAAGAGGATTAGCAATTGAAATCATAGTAATCTGAGCTTTGGTCAAAACTGATACTTCTCTTAATTTTTTTTGGAATCCATACTATAGGTATCATCACAGACTGGTCAGCACCGACCTGCATGCAGTAGCATAAAATTTGAGCTCTAAGTTAATAAAAAGGAGGGGGGGTTGTAGTATAAGTGAGGAACGTTTAAAGGGAGGGCTGACGGTCTGACATCAATATTAGATCAAAAGACCGATAAGTAGAAACTTACACCTTTTTTATCGGAGTAAAATTCAGGAGATGTTGGGCGGATTCCGAGGGCACAACAGTGATTTTATTTGGCTTGTTCAACGAACATGCAATTTTCGCAAGCATCTGCAAAAGGACAGGTGTGTGAAACTGGGAGACTACTTACAGAAAATTCAGCTGCAAAGTGGCTTCAAACAGACTTCCTAACAACAGACACGAACTCAACCGTCCATTCTGTCGCGTAATGGCACAATGCTTTGTAAATTTCTGGAGACGGTATGCATTCACGTACGCCATAATACGCAACTATTGCAGTAGACAGATGTCTAATAAGCAAGTGATAAAATATTAATGTTGACGACTGACTCAGGTTATCGGTGGTTGTTTTACAGTGGCGACTGCAGATAAGTCCTGGTATATGTGGGCAAAATACTGCAGATTATAGTTAAAATTGTTCTATAGGTTCTGAAATTGTCTATGTTAGTATACCTGCAAGTTAATTAACGTAACTCGTTTCGTTTGGTAAATGACCGCAGATGTCATTCCAAAACATATGACTGAGCTCATGACTGAATTAGTAGGATTGTCCCGCAAAGAAGCTATTCAAAGAGCTTTCAAATATCAACTACACCTGAAAATAGCCAGCTCTCCAAAAGGCATAAGATAAAGAAACGTGTCTGCGGCACTTAATAAACTTACTCTGTTGGCAGCAACACCAATCGAACATCGGTATGAGGTGTCCTTCAAAATTGCATCTTTAATCGTTTGGGCAAGTTTGAGAGCGGCTTTTAGCTTGTCTCCATCAGTGAGGCGG